TGATTAGGTGGATTCCTAGCAGGCCAATGCTTCTGGTGATTATTTTTACTTTGGTGAGGTTTCTCACAGAGTTTGGGTTCTGGCTTTGACAGTCGAAAACTCAGCACGTAATGACAAGAGTTGAGTCCATAACTTGCTTGCACAATACGACAATCCTCATTCGGATTCGACTGAAGCCAATTCACGAATCCCTTCAAACCAACTTTTCCTTTGAAGGTAAAGCTCGTGTAAAACTAACTTGTTGAGGAATCTTTGGTAAATCAGCTTTTTCTTTTATAATCAACAAAAAGTTTTAGTAATTACGCTGGGTAATTTCATTTTTTAATAGCTTTTTCCATTTTCGGCGGAATTACCCAAAGCGTACTGGCTGCAGTGTTAAGTTAAGTAACGTTGCTATCTTGTCACAATTTACCACCGAACACCCTTATCATAGAATCATACAACCGAGAACAACTGTTAAATATTATTATTTTAGACATCGTTCTTAGAAACTGCAATTGGCATGTACTGCTATGGAAATGTCTCACTCGAGGTAAGAAGACTCATGATGATTTCAGTTTATTCTGACTTTGTAAGTTTCCACTTGATGTCTGGTTCTTCTGACGTTGCTTCGAAAGGTAGCATTGATGCTATAAATTCTAGAAGTTCAATATCTTCCAGGAAATAGATTGGATGATGCAATGACCAGCTGGTTTATACAAGATGAGGTTGTTGAACGTAAAGGGATTCTCGGTTCCCACCCGTTATCCTTCAAAGCAGCGCATTTCATACAAAATAAAAAAGCGGATACTCGTCCCCATACCTGGAAAAATGACAGTGACTGCATACACTCGCATTATAATGTCGATAAAGTAATTGTAAAACTGCGATTACAATTGACTACATTACTTATATTCGTATTGAGTAGTTTTTGAAACTACCAGTAGATCTTGAATGAGATCTAAATTCACTTTATTTCGTAGGGGACTGATTTTCTCCACAATCAGTTGAGTAGGCCTCATGTTTCCATTGAATTCCATATGGCCTTGCTTTCCAAAAGGTATTCTCACCCAGACTGGACTGGAATACAGCTTCGACTCTGCTTGAGCTGGTCTCGAACCTAGATTCTAATCCAGACATGTCAACTATTATGCCAGACTGCCACGAGGGCCGTTGGGCCGCAGGTGAGACGTAAAGTTCAATGCAAAATTGATGCCTACTCATCGGATAGTGAGTAAAATTCAGCTAACAGTTCTTTGTCCCCTTACATGAAATAGGCTGAATCCATTTCATATTTTTGATCTACTGGTCATCTCGAAAACCGACATATAAAACGAAGATTTGTACTGCTTTTCACTTGCTTCAATTGTACATCATCGTGTCATCCGATGCGAAGCTGTCGCGAAGAGGTGACCGGGAGTCATTTTTTCCCCAAACTCAAACCTCCAATTGAAGCAAAACAAAGCGACATCTGTACATGGCGCAGGAGTGGGATTGACCTCGTGATTGGCCAACTTCCGGCTCGCTCTTCATCGACTCTGCCTCTTCCATCGTTGCCTGGCTTGGGGGTCCAAGTTGCGACCGGCCTCATTCTCGAAACGGCCAATGCCCCACCAAAAGTGTCAAGAAGGCCTATTTAGCTTTGGCTTGACCTACAGTATGGTCGGGCCAATCGCGATTGTCGATTGATTAATTAACTGCTTTTCATTAGCATCCCGAGTCCTCGAATTCCGGCGCCACTAGTGGTCTGTTGGTACAGTAGATCTCTTCTTTCAGGGCTGGTGGTTCGCGGCAGGCACTACATTGTCGTGCGTTCGCTTGCAAAACTGCAGACGGAGGATCGCATAAACGCCATAGCAGCCACTCATTCTGTGGTACCGATGTTCGGCCAGACGTTGAGCAACAAAAACGCCACAGGCAACGAGGTGCTGACGTGGACGGGACTCGCTTCTGCTCTGCCCGACTATGTGCACATTGTCACCCTTTCGCTGTGGAAACGCGACAGCTACGGCTACAGAGACGGCAACGGAAACGGCAACGGCAACGGC